GAGTCACGTGACGCCCTCCCTAGCACCCGGTGCCTGTGTGCACGCTGGGCAGGTGGGAGTCACGTGACGCCCTCCCTAGCACTCGTTGCTTGGGTGGCTTTGGGCTCTTGCTGTTCTCCTGACTGGAGCAACTTGGTCCCGTAGCTCCCTCGGGAGCTCTTCACTCTTGCACTGGCTCTGCTCCAGCCCTGAGCATGTGCTGCGTCTCCAGCTCCAGCCGCTCCCCACGACGTGTTAACATTAGCTCAGCATTTGTGACAGATCTGCTCAGTGATGTACGTGGTCAGAATTAGAGGGAATTATACGGTGTGGGGAAGTCTCTGGGTCAGCCTGACATTTTCATTTTAAGTGAAAACCTCTTCTAATTAAAACTTTACTTGAGTTCAATCCCTGGTACCGAAAAAAAAAAAAAAAAACACAAAAAACAAACAAAAAACCAACAACAAAAAAACCACATAATAATAATAAAACTTCACTCAGAAAAACCTGGGAGGTGGCCCACGTGCACTTAAGTTGTTGGTGGTGGTAGAAAGTCCTTTTTCAGCACAGAAAATACAAATGAACTCAATGAAAATGGATAAAGAGCAAGCAGAATGCCCAGAACACGCGTTTCTGTTGAGAAAGCCCACCTGCAGATCTACTGCTACCCAGCTGCCAAAGGTCCGGTTGTAGGTACAAGAAACAGCGCTGGCAGAGGCAGGGGTCCCCTTGGGGTGCCCTCCTCTGTGCAAGTGCGGGATTTCACAAGCCCCTGCTCTCTAACAGCGAGTTGATAAGGACCTTCACTGACCACTGCTCCATGTGCATCAAGTCCTGACTCCTCAAGTTTTGTGCTTAAGCCCAAATCCTGAGAGCAGAAATACAAATTTGCTCAACATACACCTACACAGATTGTCGAAAATGCTTATTATGTTTTTGAATTATTTTAACTGCTTCCCAGAAATGATGAAATCATTCATTTAATAAATTTTATTAGGATAGGTGACCTATTATTTATTATAATAACATAGGATATTTTAAAGCCAGTGGCAAGATGCTATGTCCTATCAAATGGAAAAGTAAAATAATCATGTCAGTGTGCATTTGTAGACAATGTTTTATAGCCAAACCTGCATTTGCATTTATGTAAATAAGGAATGCTGAATAAAGTCACTTTTTAATTGACAGCTATTATTTATAATTATGGGATAGTGTTGCCTTTTCTTTTTCTTTTCTTCCCCCTTGTACTAGGGATGGAACCTACCAACCTATGTCCCCAGCACCTTTTATTATTTCATTTTGTTTTATTTTTTTGTGGTACCAGAGATTCAACTCAGGACCTTTTGCTTTCCAGGTAAGCGCTTATTTTACTGAGCTATCTGCCCAGGCACCCTTTTAGTTTATCACTGCCATGTCTGCCCCCATTCATAGGTTGGCCTGGCCTCCAGATTACCTGGGATTCCAGGCCTACACCTCCACCCCTGGCTGTTATCATTTAAATACAGATTAATAATTTGCAGCATTAATTTATTTTTAAGAATTTGGGCACTTCTGTCAATGTTAATAGGACATAGATTGCTTAACTGAACAAAGGAAAGTAAGGTCTCCTGAACCATAGTAAATTGGGAGTCTGATGAAAGTGGCTGCAATTGGCTCTTGGCTCAGTGATCGTCTTAAGTATAAAAATGAGTGATAGGGACAGATTGCATATTCTCTGAGTAAAAAGAGAATGCATAAGTCCAGAGTATGTTCCCAGGGCTGCTGCAGAGCAGCATGCCTATTGCAGTAGTTGCATTTTGAGTCTCAAAATGAAGGGCTAGGGCGAAAAGCTTCTGTTCACAAAGGAATGCCACCTAAGAAACACTGGGCAGTATTAGAAAAGCAAGCCTGTGACAACCAGCACAGTAACAACTGATTCACGAAAACTCCCCAAAGTACACTTAAGCCTTTTTGTGCAAATTTGTTTGGCAGTAGAATGTTTACTCAGTTTCAAAAGCCCTGGTGGATTGTTTTTGCTAAAGTTTTCCTGTGACATCACTTAGCAATGGGGTCAGCTGCATCGGGACTGATGAATGGTGATGTCACTGGCCACACAGGCTGCAGTGCCCCTCACAGCACGCAGAGCGTCACCCGCAGGAGTCTGGTCCAGCACATTAATGTGACCCTTCCTGGCCAGGGGTCAGCAGTCCGAGGGCGCTGCAGAGCCACTGTGCAGGGCCTGGGTGTCCCTGGCCTGGGTGTCCCTGGCACAGACACAGGCGTGCCGGGTCCGTGGCTTTCATTACGTTGTCCTTGCAGCTTCTCTGTGGAAAGAAATTCACCAGAGGGAAACACTGGGGACAGCTGCCTTATCCTGAAAGTCCTCATTTCTTTAGTAGCCTCCTAAGTTGCTCATCAAACCTTTTGGTCTGCTATTATTTGTAATATTTGAATTCACAGAAGTACTTATTTTAATGAAACGAGAATTGAATGGGAGATAGAGGTATTTTAATCTGAGTGACTTAGGCCTCTAACTCGATAGACTTTAGGTTCTTCCTTTACTTATGTTTATTTTCATGATTTCATATACTTGTACAACATTTTTTTCTTTACCCTTTATACTATTCATTACTTGTCTCTTTGCATATTTTGTGTCTAGATTGTTACCGTGGGAATGGAAAAAATTACATGGGCAGCTTATCCAAGACGAGATCTGGACTAACATGCTCCATGTGGGACGAAAACATGGAAGACCTGCACCGGTGTGTGAGCCGCTTTCGGGACGCGGGGTGGGGTGGCGGCATTTGCGCGCATCTGGGCACCCACGTTCGTGTTCCTTTCTATCCTTTGTCTTAGGAAACCAATGAAAACATTGGTTTTCCTGTACAGCTAGTGACCTCGTCTTGGCCCGGAGGAAACTTTAAGATACTCCTCAGTCCAGCACACCTCTCCTGAGCGCTCGCTGTGGCTTCTGACCAGTAACTGGTATTAGGGGGACGGTCAGTTAAAAACTGGCATATGTTTAGTTCCAGAGTTCAGGGAGAATTTGATCACATTTAAAAACCAGCTGAATCACTTCAAAAGAAGGTGGATAATGAAATGCATATGTGAGGCTTCAAATGGGGCATGCTGAGGGATTATTGTACAATTCACATTAATAGAAATTTGTGAAATTCTATGAATAATCATTTCATATACATATTAATCTTAGATGTTCACCTGTCTATTAAAATGATAGAAATAGCTTTTCTTGAATAGCTTTATTAATATAAAGTTTTGTGATTATTTTTGGAATATATATATTATATATATTTAACTTTAAGAAAAATCTATATACTTAATGACTATTGGAGACTTTATGTTGAACATACTCACAAGGAAATGCCCACTGGGCCTTAGGAAGAGTCCTGCTGTTTATAAAATTATGAAACAAGTATGACATGTCATTGTGACTTAAACCAGATTTCAAGTAAGCAACCCAGAATAGGCACAGTAGAGAAAAAACAGCTCGAGTGTGATGAGGGGCCCCCACATGACTGCTTGGATGAGTACCTATATCTCCTGGCCCCCACATTCCAGGGAAGAATTCTGCATGGGAAGAAGAAGATAAGGGCTCCGAGAAGTTGAGTCACTGTGCTTCTCTCCTTGCAGTGGTGCCAGCCTTGTTCTCAGCAGGGCCTGGCGTTGTTCTACAGGATGGATCGTGTCCGTTAATGCATTCCACAATACTGATGGTGTAGAGCACTGCCATCTAATATCATACAATGTGTCTCACAAACATACACTACGTATATACTTTTGAGTTTTTAATAGCCTCCTGAAAGAAATAAATGAGATAGACAAAAATTAACTTCAATATATAATATTTAACCTAATGCTGTCTATCTAAAGCTTTTCATTTCAATGTGTGCAACATACACATTTTTAATAACATCTCTTATGTCCTTTTTAAAAATATATTACACATTGAAAATCTGACACCAACTGACCCTGGACCACACCCCTGAGTAGTTTGTTAAGGCCACACACACTGTAGTGCCCGCCAGCACCAGAAGTGGAGGCTCTGGGACGGCACTGAGATCAGCAGAGCTCGGCCTTCAAGCGCCTTAAGCATCAGTGCAGGAAGACCGCGGGCTGGGAGTTCCCTTGCCGAGGTGCTAACACGTGAAGGCAGGTGCCTGAGGTGCTTTGGCGAGGCAGAGCTGTCCCAAGACAGGGTCAGCAGGACGCCCTCCTGCGGGACAGACATTAGCTGGGACCCACAATGGCACTAGCTAGGCCCAGGGGAAAGCAGCAGAGCAGAAAGGTTACAGTGTTTGAGAACTGGAAATGGTTTGGCAAGACCGAGAGACTATCATTTGGTCAGTGTCCACGGAGAAGAAATTCTGCAGTGGTGAAGCCTTCAAGAAACTCTGTGCTGAGCATTAAAATATTTCAGTAAAGAAATCAAAGCAAGAGTACGCACCATTTAAACTAAAAGCTGATTGCAACACTGCTGTTTTCAAAACCAGTTTTTAGGAACAGGCAGTGGTGAGTGGGGGTGGATTTGGATCTTCGAATTTTGAGAAATAATTGTTCCCATTTCCTGCCAACACTGCCTGAGGGATTTCTAATTGGAGGCTTGGAGTCTTCATATGGAAGTGTTTACTCCGGAGACACTGGCATGGCCTGAAGGAGGACTCTCCCTAACTCGCTCGCGAGGACAGCTCCTCGGCACGGCCAGCCTGCTACTATCAATAGGAGACACAGTTATTCAGGGAATCCCAGGGCAGCATCTCTTACTGCAGGGCGTGGAAGTCTAAGTTTTGGAAGTAGCTAAAAGTGACTTGGGAAAAATAAGTCCAGGACATGAATGTCAAGCTGCAGGGTACCATTGTGTTTTAAGAAAAAACTATGCAAGGAAGAGGTTGAGCATTGGGATTTTGAGCATCCAGTTAGGAAATTTGAAATGTTATCTGGTTATCTGTCAGGAAGACATTTCACAACTATGTGGCTAGTACAATTTTAGAATTTCATTATTTCTTTGACACCACTATTAATTTCTAGAACTGACACCCCCCCATTAATTTCCTGGTCCTTTGTGTCAGTGATAGTGCTAGAGTTGATTCTTAGCGTCTGGAATATGAAAGCAGCCTTTTACAGTAGCTTGTATTTCCTGTGCACCATTTTGGCCTTCGGGGTCTTCTTGCTGTTGCCCAGTACTGCCCTATATCTGTGCACTTGTACCCTTACCTGCCACGACAGTTATTAAACAGACGCAAAGCCACAAAACCTCTCACCACATCGTATATGGAAATCCTCTCTGGAAGTCAGTTTAGGAAAATGTATCCAAAGGTATCCTGAGATTAGAAGACATGGCGCCCAACGGCAACGGCTGGAACAGCGGAGGTCTTGGCGAACAAGTAAGATCCACACGGCGCAAGGGCTGTGCGGTGCCTGCAGGGAAAGCGAGGGCCGGGAGGCTAGGGCCACATCGGCCCGCGCTGTGCTTCAGGGCCAGAGCCACCCCTTCTGAGCGCTGGCTTCTCGTTCTCGCAGTCACATCTTCTGGGAGCCAGATGCCAGTAAACTGACTAAGAACTACTGCCGGAATCCAGATGACGACGCTCACGGACCCTGGTGTTACACGGGGAATCCACTCATTCCCTGGGATTACTGCTCCGTCTCCCACTGTGAGTGCCGTTAATGTTATTTTTTCAGTTGAAATATGTTAAATGCACTGCGTCTCCACTAACGTGATTTCACAATCAGAGCTATAAATCATGCACTATTCAGGCGCGCATTGCAAAAGAAGGACGCGCGGCAGACAGCGATTCGCAGAGATGTGCACAGCGTACACGAACACACGGCTCTGATGTCTGCCTTGCTTGATGGGACGCACACACACCCCACTGCCACCTGTCTTGGAGATCAGGAGGACTGCTTTTGACCAAATTTATCTTTTTCTCCCTGAGAAGCTTTCCATTTGGAATACAGACAATAAACAGCCAGAATTCCACTCTAGGTGGGCAAGAAACACGTGCCCAA